CATACGCAAACGTATTTGTCGCCGAAAATTCGCGTATTTCGATTTCCACTGTGGAGTAAAAACGATGTTTTACAATAAATATTTTACAGTTTTAGAGTTTCCCAGTGTCCATGTTTTTTCTATGTTGATTTAACTCCCAATGCAAATAAATTGTATTACTTTACTATACTGAATTTTACACCAGCAATCAACGTGATAGGTGGTGATTTGGTGCTATGACTGAGACTTTCAAATTTTGGGGGAATCAACACACAACACCTGCTATCACATATCATGATATTCAGGCCTGTTCTCAAGTTTCTGCTGCTTTGAGTTTTGGAGGACTTCGCCGCGCAAACTAGCATTCTTGCTTTGCATCGACAAGATCGTCGACAAGATCATTGCTCTGCTTCGCAGAGCATGCAACGATCTGAAAGGGTTGACATCGTCAGTCAACTTTGAGTTCAAAAAACTTTATTCAATAGGACATAGGAGGAACTGGCACGCGGTAAAGTCCTTTGACTTTTCGTAAGTTATAATAGATGATAATGCATTTAAATTGAGTCTCAGGCCTTCACATAGCCATGTGCCTACGCGTACTGCGTGACGCGCTTGTTTCACAAGCGAGAGGGCTCTGGTTAGAGCAACTTACGTCCGGCAAATATGGAGGAGGAGGTGGTTTTGGAATTTCGGACAAATCCGGACAGGGGGAGGGGGGTGGTTTCTGAAAATCCGGACGTCCGGAAATTTTGGCAGAATTAACGAAAAAGTTCCATTAATTTCAACTCTTTGGCACTAAATAACTAATTACTCAATGAGTTGGTTTTATTTGTAGTTTTAAAAGTAGCTGGAAATCCGGATGTGTCCGGGGTGGTTTTGAAAATTCAGACACACCCGGACAGGGGGAGTGGGGGTGGTCTGAAAATCTGCGACTAAGTAGATCATGGCCCCAACTAAATTGTGCCTGTGGTCAGGGGGATCCACAATTGTATGAAAAATGGTCCATCATAAGCCTCAAGTACAGCAAAATACTAGCTCACGACCGCCATCAATTTGATTACTTCTGTGGTGGTAACTACACCTAAAGTTAAACACCTTGCATGTATGTTGTAACTGTGAAGACTATTCTTGATTAATATGAATACGATGCCAGCCCCGAATAGCTGAAGGAGTAAGCAACATAATCTCATTTTAATAGCAAATAGGCAGCCTAGTGCAGCACAGTCACATCAATGTCAGCAGTCAGAACGTTGACATACGTTGCATGCCACTTGGGATACGAAACATGTATCTATCATATCAGAACGTACGTCGTATACCCACTTTAGGGGTCATCTACTTAATTAGGAGTTAGGACGTCCGGCAAATATGAAATAGGGAGGGGGTGGTTTTGGAATTTCGGAAAAATCCGGACAGGGGGAGGGGGGTGGTTTCTGAAAATCCGGACGTCCGGAAATTTTGGCAGAATTAACGAAAAAGTCTCATTTATTTCAACTCTTTGACCATGAATTTGAGTTGGTTTTATTTGTACTCTGTAACTGGGAATCCGGACGTCCGGTGGATGGTTTTGAAAATCCGGGCACACCGTACCCGGACTTGATTGACGATGTCAACCCTTCCAGTTCCAGATCGTTGCTCTGCGAAGCAAGAATGCTAGTTTGCGCGGCGCGTCAAAGCGGCGAATTAAGTCCTCCAAACCCGGACAGGGGGGAGTGGTCTGAAAATCTGCGATTTTGGTGGCCGTCATGACAAGTGAAGCACATTCATTGGCTCTCGTATGTTATATCATATATTATAAATATGATCTAGTCTTGGTCCGGTTCATTTTTATCGAGGTATTATGTAGTTTTATATGCAGCACTCGTCAACAGCCAGTCTAATCTTCGAGATTAATGTTAAAGTTGCACTATACGTATCACAAGAAGCAACATTACAGCTCACGCGATCTGATGACAATTAGGAAGTAAGTTTTCAGTTCAACTACATTAAGTACACCTGGACACGTGCTGTTTACAGTATACACACGTGTACCAGTAGTTGTGTACTAGTACTACACAGCATGGAACTACTTACGACAAACCTGTTGTACTACTCTAAATCGTATAGTTAACACTGGTCTTGCATATTAGTATTACTTTGGAACTTGCATAGGGGTCGTTCACATATTACGTAATCAATTTTTGGACAATTTTTACCCCCCCCCCCCAATCAGTTTTACACATAGCTATTGTGTCAAAATTACACTAGCGGAATCATTTCAAAACCCCCTCCCCCCTCGGCTGATTACGTAGTATAGTATAGTATGTGAACGACCTCATTATAGTGCATATATGCCGGCATAACTTACACCTTCCTCTCCAAGGTTTTGACGTAAGACGTTATATAACATAATGCTTTATTTCATGGTAATGCTTTATTTGGTAGGTTGGTAGGTTAGCCCGTATGAGGATTAAAGAGGGGTATTTCGTGACTGTTCCCCTGCTAGCTGCCTTGTAGTTGTACTTGTAATGTATTCATTGGTGTATAATGTATACCTTATCGGACCTTATTTGGACGGACATTACTTGAACGCTGGAGGCCCTAGCGTTCATCTTAATGTCCGTTCAAATAAAGTCCGTTCAATTAATGTCCGTCCAAGTTAAAGTCCGTTGAAATTTTTCAAAAATTTTTCCATTTCGAACCTTTTTGTCCAGAATATGACAACTTTGAGAACTTTATTGTGCCGTAAGTTAACGACGGAAAGGTTCTCCTTGGTCTGCCGGAGGCACAGAAAACTTTACTAGTATTTATATGATGTTTTCAAGGGACACTTGGCGGAAAAAAGTCAACGAAATTATGGCACTCAACAACATGAACTAGTCCCCGCCAACATGACAAACTTGTTCCAGCCTCTAGATATTACGGTAAATCGTGTCGCCAAGGACATTGTCCGACGTTGTTATAGAGTTATAGCTCATATTACTCAGGGGAGCCTGGGGAGGTAATGAAACAGATAAGTGCTGGGAAAGCTCCACGTGATGTTAAGGTTAACCTTAAGTTGTCTAAGATAAAACCACTTCATGCCGAATGGCTTGTAAAAGTTAACACTGAAATGCAGGACCGGGGTAGTTTGATAAAAAAGGTTTCCATATAAAAGCTAGAATTCACTGATGCTTTAAGCATGGACTATTTCATGCACGAAAACCCATTTGATGAAGATGATATGTGATATTAGAAACTGATCATGTACACATATTTTAACATTTTTACTGCTCAATGACTGCTTTTCTAAGGTTTTCTTACTTACTGTATAAAAAATGGATTTAAAAATCATTTGCTGAAATTTAAAAAACGTAACATTTTTTTTATAAAATTCGGATTTTTGATGGTTTTGAATGCCTTCGAGCGTTCATATTAATGTCCGTTCATAATTATGTCCGTTCATGTAAAGTCCGTCCAAATAAGGTCCGATAAGGTATGTTGTTTTATATTAAAAAGTTGTACAGTAAAACCCCTATTTACCGAGGCCAATTCTTTCCTTCATATACTACTACTATAAATAGGGCTTTAGTTATAGTATAATAATTATCTTGACTATTTCCAGTTAATAATTATTATACCTTGTGTTTTTCTTATATTTCATCTCCCAGTATCATAACATACATAATGTAAACAATCAAAACCTCGATTTACCGCGGCTTTTTCTCTTCCTCAAACTCTGCGGTAAATCGGGGTATTACTGTACTTATAGTTATAGTTATGCAATATCCGTCATGTGGCGAAGTAATTTAATAATCACTTGTTATGTACACTTATAATGTGGTTCAAGTTGTACATGTCGCAGAGCCTTTATTAATAAATAACGTAATTTCAACAAAGAACCCATGCCACACACTCCTGCACTCTCCATTTGGTATGTGTTCCTGTTGTAATGTATGTGCTCCTAGGATCCTACTCCACACCTCCTATCCCATGTGAACACCTTATCACAGTGGCCAGTGTGGTACAACTACATTGAGTGGTAATGAGTCAAATTACATCTCCACCAGGGCCAGAACTAGATCTGCAGTGAATAACTTTCATAATCGATGTCACTCCCACCTGTTGAGAAAGGTGTACATATGGTATTTAGTGAGCAGCGTGATCTTTTGCTTCACTATTTTAATGTAGTCCGCCGATCGATCTTCTTGTATTACTTAACTTTAACATTTAAGTCAATCGTCGGGTTTAAAGCGTTTATATTGTGTAGGTCGTTGTGTTGTTAAGTTTATTCTAATGATATGATTTGAATGTTGTAGTGTCTGTGGTGGTGACTGTTCCTACTTGAATTGATGTAATACGAAAAAGTATGAACACTAACAGTGGCTATTTTTAGCAAAGGGAGCGTTTCCAAACCTCCCCCCCCCTCTAGCTGCTGACGTCATATGTGAACGCTCCCATACGAGAAACTTACGTTCCCTCAAGTTGCAAGTACACTGCACATAGTTAATTCAAATAAGTACTGCCGTGTAATAACCATGGTGTATTAATATTATTCGAGACCAACGTTATTAATTTTTGTGATGGAGCTCACAGTTATATACTGTGATTGTCAGAGCACAGAGAGCCTCTCTCTCTTTCCTTGCCTCTCAACATCATTAAATAGTATCGTCACATGATAGTGGTGTGCATTGTACAACTACATGTTTGGTCTGTTTCAGTGGTTGTGATTGCCGTATTCGTTTAACTTTAAGTAGTTCCAACTATCTAATAGCCTCCGAGTCGTTAATATCGCGGTAAAGTAGTATAATTATCTTATTCTTACGTTAGATATGCCATTTGAGAATTCGGCTGTGTTACTATTAGTTTTGAATTGATAAATATGCTGATTTTTTGTCTTAATAATATTTACTGTCTTTAGATAGAGCTAGACGGAAAGAGTATTATGTCAATTTAACTTTAAGGTTATCCGTTTATTTATTTAAGTTGGCTTATCGGATCATTGATAAGTTATTTTATGTTCGATTTATTAATCATTTGAATAAAGTCTTTGTACAAGGTGCCCAGGAGCAATATGGCGGCTGTAGCACGGAAGCAGATAAAACTATATGTGGTGTTGATTCTTAGTTGGATAGCAATCAGTACCACACTAGAAATTCAGAAGGTAGAGGTGGATGTTTGCTCGGAACCCTACCCACCAATGCCTAATTTCTACTACAGCGAGACACAAACCAATGGTGAGATTATGTCACCTGGTACCCGCCAACTTCATAAACTGATCTGTCAACTGCTATTTTTCTAGATTTTGGTGTCCACTTTCTCCAGGATTAAGAATGTCGGGTAAACGAAATCTGCCAATCTGTCATTCTGTGGCACATTTCCTTCGAAGGATTATTAACTCCTTTTATGGCATAATATAGCCATTATTTGCGATTTCAACTTTATTTGAAACTTCAACACTTTGCCTCAATGATGACTGAACACGAAACAAGCCATAGTGAGTCCCTCGGACAAATTCAGATAACATTTAGATATCGTACTAAACGCACCATACAATATACCCTCTCCTACTCCTAACAGGTAACATTTAGATATCGTACTAAGGGGTCGTTCACATATTACGTAATCAATATTTTAGCAATTTTTACCCCCCTCCCCCCTTCCGTAATCAACCGTAATCAAGACCCAACCCCCCCCCCTCCTGACAGCAATATTACGTAATCATGGCCTGACCCCCTAAACGCACCATACAATATACCCTCTCCTACTCCTAACAGATAACATTTAGATATCATACTAAACGCACCATACAATATACCCTCCCCTACTCCTAACAGATATCGTACTAAACGCACCATACAATATACCCTCTCCTACTCCTAACAGATAACATTTAGATATCGTACTAAACGCACCATACAATATACCCTCTCCTACTCCTAACAGATAACATTTAGATATCGTACTAAACGCACCATACAATATACCCTCTCCTACTCCTAACAGATAACATTTAGATATCGTACTAAACGCACCATACAATATACCCTCTCCTACTCCTAACAGATAACATTTAGATATCGTACTAAACGCACCATACAATATACCCTCTCCTACTCCTAACAGATAATATTTAGATATCGTACTAAACGCACCATACAATATACCCTCTCCTACTCCTAACAGATAACATTTAGATATCGTAATTAACGCACCATACAATATACCCTCTCCTACTCCTAACAGATAACATTTAGATATCGTACTAAACGCACCATACAATATACCCTCTCCTACTCCTACTCCTACTCCTAACAGATAACATTTAGATATCATACTAAACGCACCATACAATATACGCTCTCCTGCTCCTAACAGATAACATTTAGATATCGTACTAAACGCACCATACAATATACCCTCTCCTACTCCTAACAGATAACATTTAGATATCGTACTAAACGCACCATACAATATACCCTCTCCTACTCCTAACAGATAACATTTAGATATCGTACTAAACGCACCATACAATATACCCTCTCCTACTCCTAACAGATAACATTTAGATATCGTACTAAACGCACCATACAATATACCCTCTCCTACTCCTAACAGATAACATTTAGATATCGTACTTAACGCACCATACAATATACCCTCTCCTACTCCTAACAGATAACATTTAGATATCGTACTAAACGCACCATACAATATACCATCTCCCACTCCTAACAGATAACATTTAGATATCGTACTAAACGCACCATAAAATATACCCTCTCCTACTCCTAACAGATAACATTTAGATATCGTACTAAACGCACCATACAATATACCCTCTCCTACTCCTAACAGATAACATTTAGATATCGTACTAAACGCACCATACAATATACCCTCTCCTACTCCTAACAGATAACATTTAGATATCGTACTAAACGCACCATACAATATACCCTCTCCTACTCCTAACAGATAACATTTAGATATCGTACTAAACGCACCATACAATATACCCTCTCCTACTCCTAACAGATAACATTTAGATATCGTACTAAACGCACCATACAATATACCCTCTCCTACTCCTAACAGATAACATTTAGATATCGTACTAAACGCACCATACAATATACCCTCTCCTACTCCTAACAGATAACATTTAGATATCGTACTAAACGCACCATACAATATACCCTCTCCTACTCCTAACAGATAACATTTAGATATCGTACTAAACGCACCATACAATATACCCTCTCCTACTCCTAACAGATAACATTTAGATATCGTACTAAACGCACCATACAATATACCCTCTCCTACTCCTAACAGATAACATTTAGATATCGTACTAAACGCACCATACAATATACCCTCTCCTACTCCTAACAGATAACATTTAGATATCGTACTTAACGCACCATACAATATACCCTCTCCTAACTCCTAACAGATAACATTTATGATATCGTACAAACGCACCATACAATATACCCTCTCCTACTCCTAACAGATTAAACATTTAATATAGTACATAACGGCCATACAATATACCCTCTCCTACTCCAAACAGATAACTCTCCTACTCCTAACAGATAACATTTAGATATCGTACTAAACGCACCATACAATATACCCTCTCCTACTCCTAACAGATAACATTTAGATATCGTACTTAACGCACCATACAATATACCCTCTCCTACTCCTAACAGATAACATTTAGATATCGTACTAAACGCACCATACAATATACCATCTCCCACTCCTAACAGATAACATTTAGATATCGTACTAAACGCACCATACAATATACCATCTCCCACTCCTAACAGATAACATTTAGATATCGTACTAAACGCACCATAAAATATACCCTCTCCTACTCCTAACAGATAACATTTAGATATCGTACTAAACGCACCATACAATATACCCTCTCCTACTCCTAACAGATAACATTTAGATATCGTACTAAACGCACCATACAATATACCCTCTCCTACTCCTAACATATAACATTTAGATATCATACTAAACGCACCATACAATATACCCTCTCCTACTCCTAACAGATAACATTTAGATATCGTACTAAACGCACCATACAATATACCCTCTCCTACTCCTAACAGATAACATTTAGATATCGTACTAAACGCACCATACAATATACCCTCTCCTACTCCTAACAGATAACATTTAGATATCGTACTAAACGCACCATACAATATACCCTCTCCTACTCCTAACAGATAACATTTAGATATCGTACTAAACGCACCATACAATATACCCTCTCCTACTCCTAACAGATAACATTTAGATATCGTACTAAACGCACCATACAATATACCCTCTCCTACTCCTAACAGATAACATTTAGATATCGTACTAAACGCACCATACAATATACCCTCTCCTACTCGTAACAGGTAACGGTTTAGAGTGCTATGAGTGCGAGGTAGCGAATACTAGTGAGATCAGTGACAAGACCTGTAACATTAGTAACTGCACTGGAACTGGACCGGCTGGCTCTTTACCTACTTGTTACAGATGGGAGGTAGGAGCCTCATTTCATTCTCAATATTGGGATCCTTCTCTTTCTATCATGAGTAGCAACAACTAGTCATAATATAGGCAAAAATAAATTCTTCACGAACCATATTATCATTCAATACATTTTATCTGTTCAGTTCACCTATAAAGGTATTGATAAGAATCTGATAAGAACCGGGTGTTCAGTGAACTGTTCCTCTATCAACTACAAACGTAAGTAATCATTACAACATTTACATTAAAAGGAATGTGAGACTAAATTTAAGTATAATAATAAGGCAGGAGTTTAGTACTGAGATCTGTAGAGATCAGAGGTTACCTTTATCTATTTGTAGATAGAGATTATTTTTAACCGTAGTTAATTCCTCCCGGTAGGATAATTAAACATGAGCTGTGGATGGAGAGTTTAATAGTTATTTAAATGGAGAAGCTGTTCGATTTTCAAGAACACGTTGCTTTTACTGAAAATAGCATTTATTAATCTAATCATTTCAGAATACATGTGCAGCGGCGTGGGTGAGAAAGTATTTGAGAAATGTGACTTCACCATGTGTTCAGGAAACAAGTGCAACTCAGCATTCCTATCTTCCTACAGTAGCATACTTCTAGTTCCTCTATTATTTCTTACATACTTCCAGTACTGACCCCAGTTCTACAGAAAGTACATTACTAGTGTGCAGTGTTAAGCGCTGATATTTGTAATTTTGAGCAGGATTTGAATTTATTCGAGAAAGGCTTGACAGTGATTAAGTTAAGATGAAATAGAATGTGAACTACAAAATAACTAGAGTCAAAATATTTAAAACATGAGTAATGACCCCAAACGAAGAGGATTTAATAAATATCTGATGCACATGACCCTTTGATCTTGAAATAAAACTTTAAATAAGAAGTCTTCAAGCAAGAGATGAGTGCAAATCTTTTAACCAATTGACTTCGATCTTTTCTTCGCAGACTGTCCCAATCTACTCGCGTAGCTTCTATGTTGCTCTGACAATTGATTAATTGATAAATTTGAAATGATTTCATTTTTCACCTATACATATTTTCATAATTGTTTATTTTTGTCAGCTTATTTCAGATGAAAAACAGAGTTTTACTTCCAACAAATCACTCCTCACCTTGTAGTGTATCCACTCAAGACAAGTCCCCCTCATCGTCTCATGAACTTAGCTGGAGGAGCAGCAGGGTCTGCTCCGAACTTGTTCCTCCGCTCAGCCGCTCTGTCCCTGTAGTCTAACACTGAGGAGTCTGTGTACCCTGCTGAGGACATCTTCTGTCGTTCTGCCGCCAGACTTGTCTGAGGAGCAAATCTTTAAATCTCATCTTTATCTAATAACTTATCTAATTAACTAGGAATTAACGGTCTAAAGTAATAAAGTTGTAAATTTGTAATAATTTCCTGCCCTGATAAATTATCTCGGAATAAAAAGGAAATTATCTCGGAATAAAAAGGAGTTTTTAATAACTGTAATTATAAGAATAAACCGCTTACTTTGTGGAGGTCTGATAGTTCCTGATGTCGCCTCAAATTATCAACTGATGGGAACTTCCTCTTACAGAGTAAGCACGCGATAGCAGATAAGTCTTCATATTTACTGTTAATCTGTTCGTCAGTCATAACAACAGGAGCGGTGGCGATGTTGGTGATGGGGAATATGGAGGGAGGAAGAGGGGCTGGAACCCCTGGTTGCTGGGTCTGTTGGTAGACAGGGTCTGCGTAGTCTTGAGCTATCTTCAGGGCTATACTGTTCCCAGATTGCTGCAAGGAGGGTCGTGTTGGAAAAATTGTTTTAATTTTTACACATGGCACAAATTAGTGGTGTTTGTAGATGGTACAATGATTATGAATTTAACGAAATGAAAATTATACTTTTCAGTAAAGATGGTCCGGGTAAAATATTTGGAGGCCAACACAGGAAGGTAAACTTACCACAACAGGAGCCTCTGGCTGGGGTTGCTCGGCTTCCACTTTCGGAGGGTTAGCCTTAGCTTGTTGTCTGTTTTTAGCCTTAGCCCATCTCTCCATGTCTTTCTGTATCTTCTTAGCGTTCATAGCTTTCGTAGCCTTGATATTACTTGATTTACCCTTCTCGGCAGGGTCTGACGCTGAAATTATTGCTTCATTATTACTGAGGTGATTTTGATTCATACATTATCTAGCACTCAGAATTAGTGATCATTTTGGTGGATATGATATAACACTGTTCTTTAAATTGGACTAAACCCCCGACAGTATTCTTATCAAATATCAATAGTATTCCTATTTTACGGAGTACGTGAGGGCTTAGTTTACAGAGTTACATTGCACGCAAATATTGAGTTATATTTCAATAGTCCATTTGCTGTAGCCAGCTCTCAATTTCATTTTACTCTACGAGCGTAATGTGGGTCATTAAAATGAAGTATGAGGTTGTCGTAGCGGAACAACTCGTATAATTGGAATAATCTGTTTTGGAAAACAGAAATCATTTGTACTGAATACAAAGGCACATTTATGAGCTAGCTAATGTATGAAATTGAGGGATAGAGGCCACAGCTAGAGCAATTGACATTCATACAAATGGATAATGGATGCTTGGAGCGTAGGTAAACCATATTTATTTGGGTACGTAACAGACAACAGTAGGTGGTAACCTAGTAACAGTTTCAAGTTTTAATTAGTTAGCTGCTACAGAATAAATTAGAATTTGGGATTATAGCCTATTCAATAACCAATGAATACATTCTTAAGTTAGATGTAACAACACCACGTGTAGTCACATTCATGTTTTTCTATCACGTAGCCTGGATCAAGTTGACACCACTAGAGCAAAAGTGATCCGATACAGCGATTCTGTGAGACAAGTTAAACTGAGGTGTCAAGCAGGATCAGTTAGGTCCCGTATCATGTGCTCAGATCACTAGATCAGATCACCACGCTAAGCTACAGAGGATAACAAGCACTGACCATCATAGGTAGCAGTATTTAAACCTACCACAATCTCACCTAGATTATCAAGCTATCTCCTCTGTATAACATTAATACAACAACTTCATCCACAAAATCAACTACTTAATGAATACCTTTACCCCATTTTTCCCATCTGAGTTCCTCTCCACAGTCCCAACGAGACAGTCCTTTTTCAGTGTGGAACCCTCTTCTCTCCCAGTTGCACAAGAACCTCTCTCTACCCAACCTCTTCCTATTATTTCCACTACTCAACCATCTCCAGTCAACCCATTCAGACAATACGCCACCAAACTTGGTTACCCTGACAACCTGATAACCAGAGTACTCAACGATTTGGGACAAGATTCTGAAACCGAAGAGCTCCTATCTCACCTAATCAGTCTACAGGACATGCTCTGTCCTAAAGATTCTACTGTTCGGAGACGAAGAGATGCTACTGACCTCCCTTCTTACATGCTGGCACAAGATTCTTTCTACAAAGGGAAAGAGAGGATGCCTTTCTGGGTATGGGTCAAACGTGAAACTATCGGTGTTAACATGTCTGCCAATCCTCCCCACAGACGTGCTGGAAACAGAAGCAGAACCAGCTCCCCTTCTGCTGCTGATGCCTCTTCCAACCTTACTACATTGAATCAACAAACTCTATAATTTAGGTTGCAGAGAAGTTATCAGATTTGTTTATCGCAACTGTATCAGTCAATCATCTTACGTGACATTTATAATACATTCTCTATACAATATTAACATTGCTCTCCAAACACGTCTTCTTCTTCGTAGGGGGCTGTGTGACGTCTGATTCAGTAGACTGACTTCAAGAATATTAAACTGGGAAAATTAAAAGTAATAAGGAATTAATAACCTTATGACTTATTCTTACATCTAACGACCTCATGGAATTAGAGCGATAGATTATAGAATCAGCTGTCCTCAAGGCTGAATTATGATTCGTTCAGTCTCATAGTATACTTGCAATGTTCGCTTTTATACTTACGTTCGTATTTTCTCTAATACTTTCGAGTAAGTAACACGTTTAAAATCCTTTCACTCAATTGAATGGTTTGTTGTTTATAATGTAACCATTACATTAACATGACGTCTCTCAGTCCCAACTGACTGGACGACAGTAAAACGGAAAGAACTGATAAAGCACGTCTTGGACACTTCACCGATACAGATAGAAACTAACCCTATAAACTCTGGAAGCTCCTGTCCAGTTATAGATCTAGATCTGTTTTCCATTTCAGAGAAGATAACTATCAATATAAGTATATCCAAAACTCCCAACAGTGTGAACTACAACATTAGAGTCTACTCTAGTACAGGAAACGAGAATTTATTGGCACATGGTATGATAAAGACAGAGGACACCACTCTCACGTGGGTGGTAGCTAAAGAGTCAGACCACCTTGTAATACACAGTGAGACATGTACACAGAAACATGTGTTTGCAGTGAGAAGGGACCAGATAACATGTTTTAGATTTACCGGACTAGATACTGCCTGAGCTCAAATATACAGAGTGATGAAGCCAGTTGGTAAGTTATACTTCCCTATGTTATGTAGATTCAATAATCTTTTCTTCACTGCCTCATTCAATTCAGACGCACCGTCATTGGCTCACAAACACATTTTAAACATTTAAATACTACACAGAATAATATAATTTGCTGAATATAACACAGATTATCATTATGATTGTAAATCACTAAACATTATCCAGGCGTTATATAACCCTTAAACCACAACTAAGATATCTGACTCACGTGTTATATAACCCTTTTAAACCACAACTAAGATATCTGACTCACGTGTTTCAGAGGAAGCAGCTGTTTGCTGGTCGGGCATTTGTGAGCTTGTTGCAGGTACCGTCTCATACTTCTGTTCCTTATCGTCCCAGTAGTAGTATTTCTCATCAGTTGGGTTGTAATAGTACTAAGAGAAGTGAAAGGATGACGTTTTCAAAATAAATTATACAGATGGTGATAATTAGACTAAGCTTTGGAAATAAAATCTTAATAATCGTACAATGACATCGATTTTAGTTGAAATATTAAAGTAAGGCACTTACCTTGGTTTTAGGATCGTAGTATAATCCTGACGACTGGTCGAAGTAGTAGCCAGACTTCTCATCCCACACGTAGGAACCAATAGTTTGTGGCACTGAAAGGGAGAACATTAAAGACATAACGCGTGACAAAACACGTGACATCTGGCAGTGATCATATTTTTACTGGATTGCACTCCAATATCTTGCTTAAAAGATTTGATCAAGTTTTTAGATTTTACTCAGTGTTTACAAAATATTTGTGAAAATGACGCGGACTGTACAAAATTCTTCTTACGGGTAAATGCCTCACAGAATGGCTAGCCTCACAGAATGGCCAAATTTGTAAATGTTTTTGTAACTAATTTTTTTATATAATACTGGTAGGTTTTGTGGATACCATATGAAACAAAAGTCTTCTGGCAACACTTCCTGTGGTGAAATCATTAACTAGGACCACATTTTCTGGCATAAATATGACTGTTTATGTAGAAATTTTGAGCACTGAAAATTTGTTTTCAAATTTTTGAACTAAGTTTACATTTTGGTGAGAACTTCTGGCACCAGTATGACAGAAGATGTTTAAAGAATAGTATTCATCAAACAAAACGAACATTGTTCAATATAGGAAGAAAAAAATGCTAAAATGGCTACACGCCTCACAAAATGGCCAAAATATGCCTCACAAAATGGCCAACATTTAAAACTCCTTTTATTCAATGAAACAATAAGTCTAAAGTATTCACAAGCTATTTATCATACAATAACACCCCAGATGGAGTGTTTTTACAGCCGAATGAAGGTTATAAATCATGAAATCAGGGAATATGAACAACGCCACACAAAATGGCCATTTTTGGTGTAGGAAATTATGCCCTTTTTATTCAGTTCTAAGAAATTTCACCTATATGGGGGTGTTAACAAGGCATATTTATACCCGCAGCATGCCTGAAACAAGAGCCAAAGGTTTTAGAAAAATAAAATTTTCTCGTTTTCATTTTTTTTTGGCCATTTTGTGAGGCATTTTTTCTTTTTTGTGAAATAATTTTTCACAGCTCAGTTTTTTCGTGAGTTTTAGGTTATTACCCCATTCCTTAATAGGTTTTCTAACAACGTGTGGTGATAGAAATTTAAAAAGTATCTCCATCAAAAAATTATAGAAATTCAGATTTGGCCATTCTGTGGCCAAAGCCAGGTAGCGCAGTTGGTTAGAACGCCTGTCTTACAATCGTTAGGTTGCGAGTTCGAAACCCACTGACTGCCTGGTCGTGGGGTGAGCGTCGTCGACGTTCAGCTAAGGATCATGAGTGGTCTATGCAGCCCCCCGGTCTACTCAGCCGAATACTCGAGAAATCGGGTGTGAGGGTTAAATGAGGAGCTGCACATTGCAGCAAAGTCTCGGACGAAGAAAGTATGGTACACACTACCTTAACCGTCACTGGCCAAAAAGATCCTTCGGCTTCCTGTAATTGGCTGGTTGCACTTGTGTAACATTGTGGCTGTTGGAATACACCGAAGTAAAATAAGTGTCTAGATAAAAAAAAGAAAAAAAGTGAGGCATGTTTTTTTGGAGGAAGATTTTCCGGCCAATTTTTCTCAAAGAAAAAATGGTTATGAGATTAAATCAACCCCCGAGAAGAAAAATATGAGTTTCAACTTAGCTTCTTATGAGATAAAAACTGGAATAAAATGTGTTTTGTGATTTTGAGAGACCTTCCTTTTTTTTGGCCATTCTGTGAGGCATATACCCGTAATGTTTATATTGTTTGAGAAAACATCTTATTTCAAACAGCAGGGATTCTTGGACCTCACGATAATCTCTCCTTATTAGACTAGAAATTGTGAGGTAACGTGGGAATGTAGGTATGGAATGTGAATTGGTTATTAGATAAAAGAAAAATGTGCTGCGATCTGAGGAGATCTGAGATCTCTTGAATTTTTCATTGTATCATCTGTTCAATTTCATGTCCATTGTCCGGGCATTATCATGCTTAACAAACATAAAGAATTCGTGAGAGAAAAAGTAAGATTATAGAGATATTACAGTTGATATTTCGAGAATTGTCAAAAACGAATCACAGAAGATTTTTTAACACCGATTACAAAAGATTTGTTACCATTTAATTATATAATTAAAATGTAAGACTTATGAAATATTTCATACTATATGAGTAATAGTCGTACAGCGAATAGAATTGACTGTTATGATTTTAAAACATTATATACTAATATTCCGCATGATGATCTTTTTGATAAAATTTCCTGTTTAATTGATATGATGTTTGATTCAAAAAGCGTTAATTTTGTTAAAGTAAGTGATAATTTAAAGCGTGTGTCGCGCTATATTGATTATAAAAATAGTGGGTTTTGTTTTAGTCGTGATAATATTAAAAAGTCATTAAGATATCTATTAGATAATATATTTGTTAAATTTAAAGGTAATATATACAAACAGATTATAGGAGTGCCAAATGCCAATGGGTTATGATCAGTGATTGTGCACCATTTTTAGCAAATTTATACCTAATGTTCTATCAATATAAATATGTTCGTGATTTGATAACAGTAGATAGTAATCATAAACAATATTTTAATTCAATCGCCTTTTTCTGTAAAAAATTTTTCTGTAAAATTAAAATTTTGAAAATTTGTTTTGATGAAGAAGGAGCAAATTTGATATTTAACGATTCTGAGTCATTCTTCAAATATCTTTTTGTTGTTATTCTTCAGCTGTTCTTTTGTTGTATCTTTGCATTACGGGTATCGGCCTTACAAAATGACACGAAAAAGGAGATGGCTCTGAAATGCACAAAAATGAGTTTTGTTCATGTTTTATTATCCAGATAGGTAGTTCAACAGGTATATTTTTCTTCCCGGGGGTTGATTTGATTGAAAACCCGTAAATTTTGCGATAAAAATTGTCATCTTTGAAATCTTCCAAAAAAACATGCCTTACAAAATGACAATTTCGTCACGGCTGTCATTTTTTAACAGCAGCCTATAGAAATTTGATTTCACCTAGGACAGTTAGATAAATATAATAGATTGAAGATTAGAATAGCTTTTACAGGAAAAAGGATGATTAAAAAATGTTGGGCAATTTCGCGTGAGATAGTGCCTTACAAAATGACAACCCAAAACGGCATCACTTCAAATCCGATTTGGGAAAAAGTTTCATTATTCTTTCACGTGTCTTACTGTTAGATATATATGTTGTTTATATTATACCAGTTCTGTTTTTACCAAAATATATTTAAAAAGGAACATTTTTTATACTTTGAAAAAATTTAAAAAATGTCATTTTGTGAGGCGTAAAAATCATTTTTTGTTTTCATACTTGAACACAGTATTTGGTTATATTTGATATTTTCTATGACTGGATAGATCACTTTTCAGTGTTTAGTTAACGTTTAACATGTTTTAGGAGTTGTTATTACTCTCTGCTTTCACAAAATAGAAGCTTTATTTCGTTGAGTTTTGAAATCAGAGTTTGAAATCAAAGAGTTTGAAATCAAAGTTTTGATATCAGAACTGCACTTTTTTAATGCTACTTGATTGTTAACTGTCAGATTATGATTATTTTTAACTCCTTCTTGTATTGACTGTCTCTGATCCATTTAAGATGATGAAAATAATTCAATCTGAAACATTGTTATTTTGTAAGGCTTTTCGGTGTCATTTTGTGAGGCATTTTGATCAAAATTGATGATCAAACAAACACATTTAGGCTCATCATGAGCTTACTGGGTTTAAGAATACCAATAATTAGGCAAGGGGCATCCAATATAAATATGCCATCTTTGTATCATAAAATAAAACTGTCATTTTGTGAGGCATAACACTGTCATTTTGTGAGGCTAGGTCATTTTTTTGTCATTTCTTCTACCAAAGTCACTAAATCAGTTTTTTTATTTGACCAGAGTAGTCTTTGATTGACATAAGTCATGGTAGTACCTGGTTTTCTGGGGTTAAATTCAAAACTTTGGTCTCCATTCTGGGTAACAGTTAGGCGGGGCAATGACTGAACAGCAAAAACGTCCATATTTATGTAAGAAATATAGATTCTATGTCATTATCATTCCTTGGGAAGTGTTAATTAATGCTTTTTCTTTCATACAGTAAAAGGAATAGGGTTCAATGTATAGGGAACCTAAGCTACAGCATGGTCTATGTGGGCTGTCATTTTGTGAGGCCTGTCATTTTGTAAGGCCGATACCCGTAGTAATATAATTTTGGTGTTCAGTAATGTTTTAAAATGTTGGGGGGGGGGGGGGGGGGGGGGGGCAACCATATTAAAGTATATTAAATGCAATAACTCCAGTTATTTCAATTTTAATGAAGTCATTTTGGCTTGTATTCCGAACCGAGATATTATGTGCAATTTTCCCAATTTTGTTCATGGAGGTCTTTTTACTTAATATCCACTATATTCAACAAACACTGAGTTATATCTTTCACATAGAGCTAGTCTCATTAAAAAATATTGAAATTTTATCGAATTTGGGCAAAAGCGAATTTGGGCAAAAGCGTTTGCCCAAATATGGGCATATCTTTTAAAGCTCATAGCTCAGCCAATTTTTGACCAATCTGGACGGAAATTCATGTACTAGTCATAAAACAGGCTTATCTTGCGAATCTGAGTGAAAAATATAGTTCATCATGTAAATCTTAACGAAGAATATAAATCTTCTAATTGTAGGTATATTAAAGTATATTAAAATGTAGGATTTTTTCCGATTTTGACACGGGGATATACTTTAATATACTTTAATATGGTTGCCCCCCCCCCCCCCCCCCCAATGTTTAGACAATTTTGTTTTCCTAACTATATTTATTCAGGACGTTACAGAAGGAATTGATTTAATGTAGTTGGAGAGTCCTAACTCTCCTCACGTCAAAAATGGCGTTTCTCTTGTATCAAATATGACCGTAAACGATTATATCTCTACAATTATATCTCTACAATTTACAAAATATGCTACAGACAATAATGAAAATGAAATAACTAAAAAGAGCATCAATAATAAAATCATTCGTGAAGATAACGTATGAAAGTCAGATAAAGTTTGTAAAGTCCCGACCACTTCCTCTAATGATGAAACAGATATCTTGTACA